AAATGTGCACAAAGGCCCCTTTTTTTTTTTTTTTTTTTTTTTTTTAAACAGGACTGAATGAGGGTTCAGGTTTATCTTGCAACCACACAGTGAGTGGGACGGTAAAAGAAGTCAGAAAAAAAATCTGTAGCTAACTGTGTGAACTATAGGAAGAGGTGTCATATGTCAATCTAAACAATACATATGAAGGTGTTGAGTTTGCTAAAAGCATGCCAGATTTTAATTAAAACCGTGTTCTTTGGTTTTGTTGAACTGAATTGGAACGAGTCCATGGAAAATACCTCATGCAAACTCTTAAGTGTGGTGGAAGAGCTGTGATGTTGCAGACCTGTTTCTCATCCCAAAGTCCTGGGAATCTTGCCCAAGAGCACAGCATCATGGGTTTTTAAAAAAATATCATGATATTCTAAATAGAAATCTGGAAGCTCTTCCCTGAAAACTGCAAACGGGTTCTCTTTGGATTTTCATTGGAATAAAATTCCAAAACAGGTGACCAAATGAAGTCAACAAGGGTTCACCCGACACAAAATCAGATTCTAAGACTAAACCTGTTAAAAATTAAAACTTTTCTTGGAAGTTGATAAATGTTATTATATAGCTGTTGCTATATAATTACATTGATGCAAATTGTGTTAGAAAACTTGTATCTGCTGCATTTCACCAGTTCTAGCTAGGAGGAAGAATCACTGAGAATGACTTTTGAATATAAAAAGTCATCTTTCTTCATTGAGAAAGCGAAAAAGAGAGAGAGAGGGGAAAAAAATCCTACACTCATAAATAAAACATTTGTTAGAGTTGTTGCAGAGCACTCGAGACGAGGAGAAAAAAAGAATAAACAAATGCGATATATTAGAAAGATAGCAGTTTGCTCTTGTTCCTGCTCGCCTTGTGCAGCATGGTGACTATTTTCACACATCTGCTACGGCACAAGAGGCTTCTGTTAAGAGTCAAGACGGCAAGCAAGTTCAAAGAAAACCGTTTGGAGATACAGTGGGATAAATTATGTCTAGCTGTAGTTTTATGAGCAGCATTTCTCCCTGCCTGTCACAACATTTAGATGAATCAACACATTATCAAAGACAGTGTGGGAACATAACTTATGACGAGAAAACAAAATCTCTCTGTATCTGTCTTACATTAATAGTTGGTACTTATTTGCTGTGTTTGCCTAATCCTATTATTCAGGTACATTTTGTGTCGCCTTATGGATTTTCTTCAGAGTTATTTTAAAATTGTTATGGGTTTATACAGATGTAGGTTTTGCTTAGCAGACCTGCAGACCTAATCTTTTCAAAATGAATAATTTAATTGTCGTTAAGACTTGAGGTTTTCTACAGTGCCTTTACATAGTTATTTATTAATATTAAATTATCATAAAATAAACTACATACTTTAGAGAATAACAATGTGAGTCCTGATTTAAAATGATTCCTTCCGTATTCATTTGGCTGGAAGTCATTTGTAGTTTGATCATACAATCATGAAAACTTTACAGGCCCAAAATTGATATGGTGAGTTTACCCCAATCAATTCAATTACATTCTTTTGACCAAGCTTAATTTAAGTCGGGGATAATTATACAAGTCAGATCTGAATTTGACCTACAGATATATTCATTTATTACAGTATTCTTAAGTTTATTTCCGAATGCCCTCTCTAAAATGTTAATAACTCTACATCAAAGTTGTGAACGTTCTGAAGCAAAAATCCTACATGCACATTGTCAAATAATGTTTTGGTCCAATCAGAAATCCCCGTGCCGCGAGCAGAACTCGTTTTTTTTTTTTATGCATTTCTTGTCAAAAGAGTTTAAGATCAGCGCTGCCATAACCACATTTATAATACAGTCTCATCCACATGCTGTAAAGCTGATGTTCACTCACTGGTTTATTGCAGCATTTGGTACTTTTTGAAAGGGCACATCAAAGGATGGAAAACACAGTGTGAGATAGATTTGCTTAGTGACCCTCCTCATGATGCTAACGTTCATTACTAGCTAATGTGAAACTTTGAAGTTTCCCAGATGGCGTTGTTTGTTATCATTCACGCTTGCTGTTCAAGCTTCGCGACCTGTAAATAATACTCCTCCTAACTGCCTTGTTTTCAGGGCTGAAAGTACATATGGGAGCCTAACTTCTTGAAATTTCCAAGTGTCAGCCTCAGTGGCTCATTTAAATGCACGGTCATGCTGCTGTTTCTGCCGCCGCCATGCAGATTGTGTTTACTATTTCACAGTTTCATTAACAGTATTTTAAAGCCAGTGACAGCACACTGAATGACTTTAATTATGCCACGCAGGATCGTGGTGGAAAATGGACAGACACAAAATAACAGCACGCAAACACTACAGCATTTATGCATAGATTAACTAATATAGACCAGCGTGAGGGCATAAAGAAAATATTGTATTAGATGGGGTTGTAGTAGCACAAGTTAAACAATAAATGTTGTAGCAGAAGAAGGATTGGAAGTTGTATCGGTTTGTTGCCTTCCTAAAATAATGGTCTAGTTTATTCTAGTTTATTTTTCAGGCAAAAAAAAAAAAAACTTTTAACAAGAACATGTCTTAAGCAGGATTATAAGATGTCCTGCAGGATGTCCTGTTGCTTCTATCATGACATTTGGATGACTTAATGGTGTGCTTTGGATTATTGTAGTACTGGATAACCCAACCGATGGTGGGACATTCTCAATCAGGATTTTGAGACAGACAGCAGATGGCATCATCAATTATGTCAAGTTGTGCAGATCCTGAAGCAGCAAATAACCATTTTGAACTGTTGGTATGATGCTTTTGTTCTGACATGCTGTTAGTTTGACAGTACACCAAGACACAACTTGTAAAAAACAAATCTTGTGTTTTCTCAGTTGGTAGAATATTGTCCCAAAAATCCTGAGCAGTTTATTCCTTTTTAGTCGCTTGTGTTCTTGTTGCTCAGCAAGTTTTGACCTCAGTCTTGTGCATAAATGCTATTTTTGCCTATTCTCATTCTTGCTGACCTTTACTAAGGGAAATGAGGCCTGCAGGTGCTTAGGTGTTGTTCTAGATGCTTTTGTAACCTTCTTAATGAATTGTTGATCTGCTCTTGGAGTCACTTTTCTGCGGCTGAGGTCTCTTGCTGGAGTCTTAATAGCTGAGATTTTTTTTTTATTTCTTTTTTTTTTAACATTTTGCAGAATGATAGATGTCAGTTACTTTACTTCTCGTGTTCTTTATTTTGTTTTGCACCATTAATTGATTGTATCATTTTGGATAGCATTTTCTACTTACTTAATGATCCTTTAAAACATACTTTTTGAGCAAGTGAAAAAAAAAAATCTGTATGGAAACAAAGATTTTTTTTTATACTACACTGTAAAATTTGTGGAAATTAGTGAAAGTTTAGGGAAAACAAATATAAACATATTTGCTAAATTAACTTTATGCGAAAATGTTAAAATAAAATGTAATTTTTTTATTTTTTATTTTTTTATTTTTTTTACTTTCTCTGCTTTTTAGTTAAATGTGAAAACCTAACTGCAAAATTTAAATCTATCAATACTCCATATTTGGATTTCTATGCAGCAGAAAAAGCTAGAGAGTCTGCCCTCATTTCCTGCAGGGACTTGGTGGTCATGCTATCCACTACCACCTTGGATCTTGTCTTGCCTGTTAAACGGATTTCTTAAAAAATCAGTTATGTTCAGTTTATTACTGGCAGCACATATGAGCTGCTGAGTGTCACTGAACTGTGATTTCGGTGAATAAAAGAGCCTGTTTAGCATTCAGGTGTAGTTAAGGCAGCTATTAGAGCAGCTTTACACCTCCAGAATCAGAAAGAGGTGCCGCTGATCCTAACTGATCCTGTGCTCGGGGCACTCCTCCTCTGCCCGCATAATGACTCATCCTTTCACGAGATACATTTATGCAAAGGATAATATTTGAAGATATAAATCCATTTTCAGTGTCCTTAAATGTACAATATTTCCTACAAGCCCCATTTCCTGTGTGATACCTGACATCAGTTTTAACTACATTTTACATGCTAATTAGTTCACTTTATTTAATCTGTCACGTTTTTAATTTAAGATAAATTTAAAAAAAAATCTAATTATTGTGATTTACAGTGGCCTGAACCAGAGCATAACCAGTAAAATGAATCAATTGGCATTTTTGTCTATTTGTTTTCTCTTAATTAAATGAGAAGGGCTGCAGCAGGTTTCACATGTTATTAAGGATTCTGAGATAAGACGAGCTGTTAGAAAGTCATCTTTAAAGTCTGCAGAAGTTACAAAGCTAAAAGTCCAAAAGCGGATAAGATTCTCTGAAGGATTACAGAGGAATATGAAAAAAATGAAGATAGACAGCAGGAACTATAAGTGAAAATACATCAGTGTATCATTTGAAAACGATTAAAAACAAAGTTTTTAGGTTTAATGTTTGAAGGGGGAAGCAGCACTTTACTTGCACATGGCAAATTGAACTTGAAACAAATACTTTTCCCATTAAGAACTGGAATGACAAAATCCAGGTGGATGCTGCTGCATAGCGGCAAGCTGATGCAGCTGTATCACACATCCAATTAACTGACTGTCGTTAAAATGATGACTTCAAAATGTGATAAATGCCTGGTTTCTCACATCATCGCTCGTTGTGACTGTTCCCACTTCATCTGCTCACATCTTTGTTACCGAGGACGAGGATTTGAAAAGAGGAGCCGGGAGGATTAAGTGAGCAAAATGGAAGAACAAACAGTGAGCCTGAGCTCTTTTTATGTTTGACCTGCTGACCAATGAGAGCAGACCGAGTCTTTAGAGGAAATGTCTGAAAGTGACACTGGCTCAAAAAGAACATTTCGGTCAAACGGTTCAGCAAAAATACCATCTGGGAAAGTATTACGTTTCTGCTGCCAAAGTCCAAAAATCCTTTTTTGTGACAAAACGCAAAACTGAAAATCAGCCAAACAGAAGTAAGTGGAATCGGTCAACCACGGCGGTGAAATTATTAATAATTACAAATATTTAAAATATCTGTCTTTTGTCCCAATGTAAAAAATATCACAACTGCTAAATTCCTGTGGATTTTTTTCCTTCAGTTTCTTAGCTCAAACATCTAAATATAAAAGCTATTAAGCATTCAAAGTACAAGCTACCCTCTGTCTAATGAATTAAAATAAAAGAAATACACTCTTTCTAAATGCCTTAAAAATGCTGCAGTTAAACTGACAAATGTTGTGGTTGCATGTTTATTATGGATTTGCCAGTTTCAGTTGGCAACAGGTTGGCGTTTTGTTTTGGTTCTAAAGCAGCAGCGTCCCAGACAGGCTTTCAAAAGGGAAGATGGAGAAGGCTTCCCCACCAACTGTGTCTGCAAATAATTCAACAGTTTAGACACAACACTTGCCAAGCACGCTTATTTAAAATGAGCACTGCCCCGTGGTCCATTGAATTAAACAATTTTCTCTCTCTTTTCTTTTCTTTTTTTTTTTTTTTTTTTTTTGGGGGGGGGCACAACATTTACTGATTGTACACGATCAATGCGTGTTGAGCAGAGCATTAAACAACCAGAATCAGTAATGAAATTATAAGGGTGTAGCATTACACGCAATCAGTGAGTGTAGTGTCCATTTGTGTGAAGGAAGTCTTAATATTGAGCTGTTTACGCAGGGATTTAGCTCTCATCTGAGTTTAAATGTTTATATTTATGTCAGCAATGCAATATTAAACTTCACACTTTATATGAAATCACAGCTCATCTCTGAATTTTTAATCGACTGAAAAATCTGTTAGGAGACAGCTTTGGAAAAATTATTCAGCCACCTAATGGACATTTATGTAGAAAATACTTAGAGACTCTTTTTTTTTTTTTTTTACCTTATGTTGATTCTGAAAAGAGCTTTCATCATGAGTTTCTCAATCAATCTGAGAACTTCTTTCTTTCCAAATACAGAAAAACACATTAATGTTAACATGAGTTTAGCATCTTTTTCAAGGACATTTAGATAAGTGGTAAGGCAGTAGGACCAACTTCGGGGCATTCTGGGTAATAAAAATCACAGTTACGCAGAAGAGTGGTTCATTTTAAGAGTAAATACCATCCCCGATGAATACAGTTCTCCCTGAATCATTCACCTGTCTGATTACTAAGATAAAGACGCACATTTGTGATTACTTTTCAGATAACGGCCACTTTCAGAAATAAAGGTGGATTTCAGTGCACTGACTCCACCATCAGTCCACACCTGGCGAACAACACCCAAATTCTGGAACGATCTTTTCTTCACCTTCCTTAAAAGGCTCCGGTTATTCTTGTTACTTGTGCACTATTTTCAGCAACAGTTTTTCCTTCCAGTAAACATTCCACTTGTATGTTTGGAAACCATAGAACAAGCAGCTTCATTAGCATAATTTATTTTATTTATTTATTTTTTTCCCCACTCTCCCTGTGAAGGACGTCAATAACTGTCTGGAGGACAGCCGTCGAGTCCCTTTGATTGTGGAGGTCATAACTTAACATTTCTCTAACCATTTGACGCAACACTCAAAAATTTTGCTTTGTGGTTTTGAGCAGTGATCCTGAAGATTAGCAAAACATTTACGCTCAAATTTAATCATTCTTTGTTTCTATGACATTAAGTTTTGAAACTGCACAATTAGAATAAAGTTGGATTTCAGCGTAGTGGGGTTTTTGAGCTGTGCCTGCCTGTATACCTGACTAAAGGTCTGACTGACATGTGGTGAAATAAACAGCAATGAATTGTCTTTGTTCAAACCATAACGACTGTTGTGGTCTGTGTGCTGAACCAACCCAGTGAGTTCATGAGTTGAATTTGCTCAGTCATTTTAAACCAAATTAATCTGTTTGCTTTCCAGCTCACAGATTCTCTGCTTAATATGCCTGACCATCTGTTCCGAACAACATGACTGATTTCTATCTCTTCAACAGAGGAGGGACATTATCGCTTGGTGTCGTGGCTCTGATTCGTCTGTTCATTGTCTGTACCTGTAGTTCTCTGTTAGGCTAGATCAGAACACAAGGAAACGCCCCGAACAGGTCAGCAGTCTATCACAGACTAACACAATTTCACAGCCGCATTCACACATCCAAGAAAAGTCAACCTGACCTGTGTGTTTTTGGACTGCAACAGAAAACTGCTGCACCCAGAGGAAAAAGCCTTGTGATGTCAAGTCAAGTTTATTTGTGCAGCCCGATATCACATAAGATATCTCTGTGGGCATCGCAGGCTCACAACAGCACTAGTTCCTGACCCAGCTCGATCTCTCTCGGAAGATGAGGAAAGGGCCGGTAAAAAGAAACTGTTACAAGAAAGGAGAAGAAACCTCGGGAGACAGCTTCAGTGAAACAATTCCCCGTCCTCTGACAGATGGGGGAGAAAGGAGGAAAAGAACAAAGGTTTAAAGGAGACTTGGAGTTAGGGCTGAAAAACATCTCGACACTGAACATTTTTTTTTTTCCTTTTTCATAAAACAACACTTTCAGGATACTGTTTCTATAATTAAAATGTATTTAAAAAGTCATCTCAAGTTTAACATGTGAATTGTTGTGGGGAAAGGAAAAATGAGGTGAGGAATAGATTCTTTTTTCTTCATGGACTCCAATAAGATTTAACAAATCTATAGAATCGTATGGCTAAACTCTTTATTCCCATTCTTTGTTGAGGAGGCTTATCTGAAAAGTAGTGTAAACCCAAAAGATACCAGCAAAGAATAGAAATAGACTGTTGTTGTCCTTTATTTACAGATTTCCTTAGCCGTTTTGTTGTCCATGTTGGGTGTTTTTGGCAGCTATAGCTGAATTGGAGATGCTAGCCTCTGGATATTTTGAACCGACCACGGGTCAATTAGGAACTGCTGTGGGGAATGGGCTCATAGATGGGTCCAGAGAGGGATTAGAGCTACAACCAGTTGAAAAAGGGTGTAATAGAAAAGCTAATACTACATTAAATCATGCATTAGACTTAAAAAAACATTGTGATTTTTGTACTTGGTGTATTGAAACTGAAAGGAAAAGTGGACATTTGCACCTTGGTTAATTAAATGCTGGGCAAAGGCATTTTCAAATTCTTACAGCACTAACGCATAACAAGCAGAGATTCTTTGATTACTCAGACACTGATGTTTGGCAGAGTCTTTGCAATTGTGGTTATCCTTTAATATATATATATATATATATATATATATATATATATATATATATATATATATATATATTTTTTTTTTTTTGTCACAGATTAAATAACTCAGTCTGAGCGACCCAATCTAATTATTTTTGAACTTCCCATTTTAATTAAACAGAAATCAGCACCAGCATGCATAACTGTTGTGTCTGCTGGTTTTCTATTACTCCAGTACATCTACAAGTAAACAGACTATGAAGAAATGTAATTTCAACCGAAAGCAAAGCCTGATACATTTAATTATTTCAAACTGCTATTGAGTTACTTTTCATGTTGTCCATGAATATTTTTTGCCACGTACAAACCATCATTCTTACATGCAAACAAAAAGGTCTCCTGTAGAGCAAACACAGAATAAAAAATGTAGGAATATCTAAGTTAAGGGGCATTATAATTACAAATGCAGGCTCCATCTTTCAAAGATGGATGGCCTGATGAAAGGGCCTCTGATTACTTATTAGTGTATTTAGTTTCTTTGCTTTTGCCATTTTTATGGGCAAAAAAATGGAAGCCAAGAAATGTAATTTAATTGCTACTTGTCTGGTGTTTTTTAGGTTGTTAAATCTCTGAGAGCTTTTTAATTGTGTATTTGACTGGGACTTTTCTCTTGTAAGTTGAGAAAACTGTGGCGTGCTGAAAGACCAAGATGTCAGGCATTGATGAACTCCAATCACAAAATGGAACAAAGCAACTTGCTACTTCTTCAACCCAAAATCATACCTTACCTGTTCTCCGCTATATTTTTCAAAAGCTGCTGCGAAATAAGAAAAAAACATATATATTTACTTGTTGCTTTTAAATTAGATGACAGATTCCTCTTGATTCCTCATTCGCTGGCAATGAAAAATAATCTTTTTTTTCTCCATTTTGAGTGAATACTCACTTACTGAAGCCACAAGAAACATTTAGCTGATTACAGTTTCAGCAACAAGCAGCACAACTAGAGGTAATTTTAGGAGATGAGCCTCAAAAGAACATATTTGTGAGAGCGCGGTCACCAAAAAAATAATACATTTAGCAAAACTGCCACCTATTTTCTTCAAAAATACAATTCAAAAAACAACTGCTCGACTGTAAGACTGGCTGATTCACTGTCCTTCTAAATCTGTCATGAACATTCATATGGGGAGCTTTCTGTGCTTTCTGCAACCCACAAAATGTTTGAGTTTGGAATTGTTAGCTCTGTTGCTTCATGATGTGATTCAAAGTGCCTGACGGTCATAACAGACCAAAATTACTCGATTCCCGATCATTTTACATAATGTTGTTTTCAATGTTCCTACAGCCTGCCTAGAAACTCTGAAATTATCTGATACAATTGAGTTCAGAATGGTGTGTTTGTACATGTGTGCTGCCAGTAAACACATCGATACTGCAGTGAACCCGAAAAGTTTTTCCTACTCTTGACAGAATTTAGACGAGCATCTGTTACTAAGCATCGACAAATTGATGACCCCGCGTTGAATCATCCACATCATCATGAAGAGAGTAGAATGTAATACTAAACCCAAAAGCCCATTGGTCTGCAGACAGCTTGTTATGACCCACAGTTACAATTTATTGTGACACAGCCCTCCATTGAGCAAAGTAATTATGTTGAGAGCAAAGGAGAAAGTTGCCATAGAGACGCAACCCCAGAAAACATGAACTTTTACCGCCAGAGACAACTGTTCATGATCTGCTCGCAAACACTGGTCAATATTTATTTTACTCATGACCTTTTCATCTTCGCAGTGTATGAGTAACCGTTAAAAACATTCGCTGTAAGACATTCGCTAATTAAGTTCATCTGTGTGTAAATGCCTGAACTAAAATCTTCCATTTGTGATTTTTAATGAATGTTGGGGGCGATATGGGCTTGTGGTATACTTGTCCTTGTTAACACATGCAGTCTGACCTTACATCAGTGTGACCCGCATTATGTTGTAGATACTGTCTTGTAGGTTATAGTTTCACAGAGCAAATTGGAAAAACAAAGAGCTTAATGGAATGGCTCCCATCTATGTGAATGATCTTGTAAAATCTAATGTCATGATTTGCTCTCTCTGGCCATCAGACATTAGTACCTACATCCAGCTCAAAAAGATCCAGAGTTTATGTGACATTTCAGGATATAGAAATGACCTACTGAGCGCTAACAAAACAGGGACGTCTGTTTTTTTTTTCAAGAAACTCTTGAAGGCCCAGCTTTTCAGAGAGCTTGTTCTGTACTCCTCTACCCCATCCGCTTCACTCTTTCTGCACTTCTTTCCATGCCTGTACTCTTATTTCCACACCCCTGTCATCCTAAGTTGCTTTTTGTTGGCTTACCTTCATCATTAAAGTTCTCATTTGTAATGGTCTTTGGATAGAAGTTTTTACCAAATGCATAGACATAAAAGTTAATACGTTTGGGAGCCTGTTTTGTAGAGGGTGTCAGAAAATGTCCAACCATGTAAAGAGCTAATGGGCAGATCAACTCGATATCTTCGCTTCATACAAAGGGCTTGGACCATCGACTTTTGAGCACCAATTGCTTCCTGGAGACGTTACACATTTTACCAAATCACTAACATTTGGACGTGAGGAATGTACCAGTTTGACACTATGAAGCTTACCAGAAATTGCATGCTCTGTAAACGACGTTACACCGACTGTGGCGAGAAAAGTGCCAACTGGAAAAAGATGGATGTCACACCTTCAAATTCAATATTTGGACGTGTGTCCAACATGAACTGAATGACTTCTTTCACATCCTCCGCTGCTATTTCCAAACTACAACCATAGACAGACTGCAAACGGCGCATACAATTAAGGTCTTTGTTCAAACGGAGAAATCAAGCTCAGTGAGAAAATTGTTTCATGCAAAACAAAAATAGCTTCTTGTTTAAAGTCTGTTACGCCCCCACGGTCTAGGGGTCCAGGGGCAGTAACATAAAATGTGTCCGGAGCGACAGTGTAAAGTAAAAATGATTTATTACAAAATAAAGTTTCACAAAACAATACAATTTAACCCAATTAATGCAAAAAGAAAGAGGGATTAACAAACTCAATAATGTCAGGAGCAAATTAAAGTTACAAAAAAAAATCCAAACAAGTCAGTTTAAAGTAACTCAAAACAAACCACAAAAAAAAACACATACAAAGGAGAGGCTGCGGGAAGCACGCAGCCTCCCAAACACAGGCTTCTAACTCATATTTAACTGGAGCAAAGTCAAAGTAACTAAACTGAACAAACAGGAACAAACAAAGACCAAGCTAGCTTAAAGTAGTTGCAACCACCAAAAAAAAAGAGAGGAGGCAGCTTCACAGAACCTCTTCAAATTAGCTGCCCCCCCTAGAGGAATGAATTCAGGAGCCTTTTATGGTGCAGGTGAGCCTCATCAACGTCTGATTGGCTTGACCATCCTCAGCTGGTCCAATGGTGCAGCTGCTCTTCTACAGCCTCCAGGCAGCCAATCAGGAAGGTGTGCCCTCACAGTTGAACCTGCATAATAAAAGGGAGCCTGCACAGCCTCAAGAGGCCAGGGGCCGTAACAAAGTCTATGTAGCCCTATAATCAGCCTTTTGTCAAAACTAAGCTTCAAATGATTACTGTGTGCTTAGAGCATCAGGAAACTTTTAGACAAAGCATTGCTCATGTACAGGTTATACCTAAAATTAAATAGATTAAACTATATGGAATATATATATGCATTTAATAAAAGGTGAAAGCATATTTCCAGGGTGACTTTTATCTCATCTGTCAGAACCCTCAGCAGCCTGCAATCATGCTGTCTATCAGCCACAGCTCAGGCCACAAGGTGATATGCATTCAAAGAGACTGAGGTAGACTCACATGGAGGTCATTTACTCAAGACATAAAACAGTTGAAGAAGGTGGGAGCTTTGGCACAAACTGAACAATGTGGAGGTTTAAAAGCAATGCATTTATTTTCCAATTAATAGTTAAACTGCATTGTTCAGCTGCCAAACGAAACGTCTCAACTGAGAGGGGCTTTGGTGAGACGCAGAAGACGAATGTTTTGGGATGGGATTAGTCCTCCTTTTTTATTCACAATGGCACACTGGGTTGCCAGAACTGGCCATTAGCTCAAATGACTTTCAGGTCTTTTCAAAGACACACAAGCGCTTAATACAAAGGCATATGTATCACAATATAGGCAGAATTGTTTTAGCAGTCATTTATAGAAAAGAGCTACAGCCCTCATCCAAGGAAAGACACTTTTCCAACAAAGCATGTCTAATTCGAAAAAGAATGGAGGAGAGAAAAAGCAATTTCAATGAGCCAGGAAATGTAATGCATCTGGCCCAGCAGCTTTGATGGGAGTGTATCAACTCTAATATGTATGCGCGGATTTGCGTCATGTGTCATGCTGTCCAGATGAGAAAGAACACGGTTGTTCTATTACATGGGTTAGCACTTCTATGTAGATCACTTGAGACCTGCTGGACATTCTTTCCCTACATATCCTCCCTCACATTGTCGCTGCTGTGCTGAGTGCAGAGAAGTCAAACAACTAACACCCTTAAAATGAAACTGGGAATGGAAATTTGTTATTTGATTCACTTAGGAGCTTTCATCGTGTCATCAAGAGGCAAATTATAGGAGCTCTTTCATGGCCAGTGAATGGGAGGCAGATTTGTAGACATGGTAACCGCAGCCAGGTTGATTTTACAGAAAATATGGGGATGTTTTTCTGGTTCAAAACAGACAACAGCAAGTGAAGCTCATTTTCATGTGAAATAAAATAACTCGTCCTTATATAGGTGGAGTTGTATTTTGGATTTCCGCTTTCACTTGATTTGTGGTTGGAAAAGAAGAAACGGATTCTTTTTTTTTTATGTTCACAGAAAGAGCTTAAAATGATCTCATTTAGAGATATAAGCATTTTTTTTTTA